CCCTGCGCCATTGTCGCCGCCGCCGCCGCTGCCGAAGGGCCCGCTGCTGTGGAGCGATGAGTTCGACGGCTCCTCCATCGACGAGTCGAAGTGGATGCACGACAACTCGCCGCCGGAGAATGGCGAGGAGCAGGACTATGTCGGCCCCGGCCGCGGCACTTCGCGGGTGGCGGATGGCTCGCTCGCCCTCACCGCGCGGCGTTCGGCCGACGGCGCCGTGACCTCCGCCCGGCTGACCACGCTCTGGCGCTTCAACTTCACTTACGGCATCGTGGAGGCGCGAATGCGCGCGCCGCTAGTGGCGGGCCTCTGGCCCGCGTTTTGGATGCTGGGCACCGACCTGCTCGACCCGAACACGGGTTGGCCCGCATGCGGCGAGATCGACGTCATGGAGATCTTTGGCACCCGGCGCGGCGCTGCTTCCTGCTCGACAGTGCACAACTCGCGCCACTCGTGGGGCACGCTCGACCCGCTCGAGGGCGGCTGCTTCGCCCTCGAGGAGCCGGAGCCGGCGTGGCATGTGTGGAGGCTGCTGTGGACGCCGCGGCGCATCGCCTTCTTCATCGACGACGGGCGCACGCCAATCTACTCGTACTCGCCCGCGCAACGGACGGCGGCCAACTTCCCATACACCAGGCCGCAGTACCTGATCGCTAACTTGGCGGTGGGAGGCAACGGCCCCTCGCAGCCCGTCGACTTCTCCGCGCTCGATCCGCCTGGCACGACCCTCTTCCTCGACTACGTTCGCGTCTACGCCCTTCCCGACGGATTGGACGAGCTGGCCGACATGAGCTGGCCGAATGACGTCGAGCGGCCGACGCTGTCCATGCCGTCGCAGCCCCTTCCGAGTCCGCTTCAACCCCTGTTGCCGCCGCCGCCGCCGCCGCAGCCCCTTTCGCCGCCGCCGCCGACGACTGGTCTAGCAGTAGACCCTGCGAGTCGGCTCGCCCTCGGAGCTGTCGGCGGCGCCGTCGCCGCGCTTGGTGCGCTCGGCTACTTTGCCCGTTGCCGGCGCAGGATGCGTGGGTACGCGAGAGCTGTCGACAGCGACGCGGCGCACGAAGCGGCGAGAGTTGCCGAACCCGAAGAGTGTGTGTATGACCTATGACGTGCGCGATCAGTGTACAGTGATCGAGGGGGAGGGGGCACGAGGGGGAGGCTCTCTCTTGGAGTACGATTTAGTATAATCTTGACCACACAATCACAGTGTTCACACGTACAGAGGTCATACGTACAGCATCCTTTGGCAACTGCCACTGAGCGCCTGGAGCCATGCCTGCCAGAGCCGCAAGGCCACAGTGGTGGGCGGCATGTGCTTTTGATTTCTTTTTTATTGAAATTCTTTTCTAGGCTGTGGGCGCCGCCATGTGCGGGGCATGCGCCAAATGCGGAGGTCATAGAAAGAATTTTACAACGAAACTCCCTCGCACGACACTGGGCACGGGACTGGCGCGCACTGGCACTAACACAAAAGAAAGAAAGATAGGGATCCCTACGGTGTGGAACTCCGGCTACGCCAACGACGGCGTCTCGTGGCGGCTATGCTGGCCCATGCCATTTATCGAGCCACTCTCATCACCCTCCTCCACGCGCCCGACGGAGTCCGACCGCCGGGACACGGGCGACCCCGGCGAGAAGGCGCTCCCCCCCCGCAGGCTCGCCTCGCGGGACGGCGCTGCGGACGACAGCGGCGACACGCGCCCCGCCGCCCACGACCAGAGCGAGGCGCCTGCGGCGGCGAAGTAGTCCATTAGTTCATTGGTTAGCGTCGAATGATAGCCGCCCCACGAGGAGCGCCAATCGACGAGGACCGCGAGATGCCTCCGAGCGATCCGCCGACCTGTTCACGCGTACAGCCGTGAAGTGACGCTCCGCTGTCCCTCGGCCGCCCACCCAGCCTACTGCTACTGTGCTGCTGCTACCGCCACAGCTACCACTACTACTCTGCTGCTACCACCGCAGCCGGCCACCGAGTCGCGGGTCGACGAGCCTGGAGAAGCAGACGCTTGGCCGCCGCCCCTGCGTGGGGGGGCGTGGGGGGAGAGAGGCCGGCCCGCGAAGGCGACGCCGCCCGACAAGCTCGGGTCGCGTGACGGGCCTATTCTTGATTGGAGCCGTGACCAGCTGGCCATCACTCAAGCCCGACAAGCTCGGGTGCCTATGACGCATCGCACTGCTCGCTGCGGACCAGCTAGGAGTGCTCGCCGGGGGCATTGCGACGGACCGGCGGAGGGCGGCGGCGAAACGCGGCCTGCCCAACTCCACAGGAAAGCGCCTATCGCCAGCCAGTCACGGCGTCGGTGAGTCGAGAAGCCTCGCGCCCCGCCGCCCCCAGACTCTGCGGGCGGGTGCCATATCTCCCCATATCTCCCCATATCTCCCCATATCTCCCCATATCTCCCCCAGACTCGGCGGGCGGGTGCCATATCTCCCCATATCTCCCCATATCTCCCCATATCTCCCCATATCTCCCCATATCTCCCCCAGACTCGGCGGGCGGGTGCCATATCTCCCCATATCTCCCCATATCTCCCCATATCTCCCCATATCTCCCCCAGACTCGGCGGGCGGGTGCCGGCGGAAGAGGCGGACGACGACTCGCCTCGCGACCCGCCCGCCTACGAACAGTCGATGCTCGTTCATAGTCGAGGAGGAGGAGGAGGAGGACCCGCCTCGCGCGCCCGCCTCGCTGCCGCCGTGCGATCCGCCCGTGCCGCCGCCCACCGCTCCGCCCTGCCCCTCCACCAGCCTCACCTGTCAGCCACTCAACGCTCCTCAACAACAGGGATGCCTCCTCACCGCCGGCCTGCCCCGACCTGCCTCGCCCTCACCGGGACGGTGAAAGCGCCCCCTGCCCGCGCACCCGCAAAAGCGCCCCCCCCCCGCAGGCTCGCCTCGCGGGACGGCGCTGCGGACGACAGCGGCGACACGCGCCCCGCCGCCCACGACCAGAGCGAGGCGCCTGCGGCGGCGAACTAGGCCATTAGTTCATTGATTGGCGTCGAATGATAGCCGCCCACGACCAGAGCGAGGCGCCTGCGGCGAAGCAACTTCCTTTCGATGAGTTCACGTTCAAGCACAGCCGCCTCACGGCCAGAGCGAAGAGCGCCGATGGACGACGCCGACGGCGACCGCGAGAAAGCGCCTGTGATTGCACTCAATCAATTCAATTTCCTATTAGCGCTGCTTCATCATAGCCGGACTAGGACAAGGCGCCTCTTCCTCCAGACAAGCTCGGGTCGCGCGAGCCGCACCCCTCGCAGCCCTGCTCCCCTGCACCGCCCACCGCCCCGCCACCCGCCGCCCCGCCGCCCTTCCCCTCTCCACCCGCCGCCTCGCCGCCCTGCCCCTCGCCCTCGCGGCCCCGCACGTGCGTGAGAGCGACGTCGCCTATCATCCGCAATCCACCACCAGCTGAACAGCGGACTGGAGTCCGGCGTGCTTCGCCGCGTCGATGCCCTTCTCCAGCCACGCCGCCACCGCCTCGTTCTTGACCTTGCGCGCGAAGTGTGCCGCCGTCCTCCCCTCGCCGTCGGGGCGAGAGCGGTCGGCGCCTAGAGGGGCCGTCCATTCACTAAGCGAGGCTTCAACCCTGTGCCCCGCTCCGCACTAGAGAGGACACGGCGCCGCGCGAGACCAACAGCCGGCAGCACGCCTGAGCAGCGCCGGCGGCCATGTTGTGATGAGCGGTTTGGTCATGGACCGGCGCGGCCAAGGCGGCACCGCGCCTCGCTGCCGCTCCTCGCCATGCATGCGAAGGAAAGCGCGGTCTGCCTACGTGTGAGGAGGCCTCCGAAGCCTCGGGGATGGGCCCGCAGAGACTGCGAGGGCTGGAGGTCGCTTGCCCCGTCATGTTCGGCTTGTCGACCTCTGCGCCCGCGTCGAGGAGCAGCCGGGCGCACGACTCCTTCCCCATGATGCACGCCTCCACAGAGAGATTAGGCTTAGGGCTAATCGATAGGATTCTCCCACCCCATGATCCGCACAACGCCTCCATCAGCGCCGTCACGCCCGCCCGGCTCGTGCTGTCCACGCTGCAGCCGGACTCGAGCAGTTTCTCGACAATCGCGTCGTGCCCGTTGACGCAGGCGTACTTGAGCGGCGTCAGTCCAGACCGGCCCGGCCTGTTGACGATGTCCTGCTGGAAGGGGTCCGAGCGCGCCTCGGCGAGCAGCCGATTCACCTCGACGCGGTCGCCGTTGAGGCAGGCCTTGCAGAGCGGCGAGTCGGACCGATCCGTCCACAGCTCCTCACACATGTTGGGGATAGAGGGGCTCTCGCCGCTCGACTTGCTGGACAGCTCCTCGTACGCCTCTGAGATGCTCAAGAAGAGGGCTGCATCGCCGTCCTTCTTGTCGGGGTGGTGCTACAGCGCGAGGGTGCGGAACGCACGCTTGATTTCGGCAGAGCTCGCGTCGAGACCAACTCCGAGCACCTCGTGCGCGGTGAGCTTTGGCTGCCTGGAGAAGAACATCGGGCTACCTGTGGCCATGCGGTGCCCAAGAGTAAAAGAAGAAAGATAAAAGGTTATCTGTATATGCGGAAGAAAAAGAATTTCACAAGAAAACTCCCTCGCACAACACTGGGCACGGGACTGGCGCGCACTGGCACTAACAGAGAAAAAGAAGTACGACTGCAGAAAAAGAATTTCACGTGCCGACTGGCGCGCACGGCACTAAGGAATTCCTCTGCTTTTGAAATTCTTAATAGCAGCACACCCATTAATGGTCAGCGCACATCCGGGCCCGACTCGTGCCGACACCGCTCGACACCGCTCGACACCACCTCGACACCTCTGATGATCCTAACACAGCAGAGACGTAGAGAAGACCCATTTGGAGTCACACAGAGTTAGAAAATCAGGATTGCAGCAGCAATCAAACTTGGCTGGCAGTACTTTCATCCCTCAGTTGCCGCAGCCTCTCTTCAAGTTCTAGCTCAAGTTGCAGCTCAGTTGCACCCCTGCAATGACCAATGTAGCAACCATGGCAGTACTCAGGTGGCCCTCAGGTGCTGCACAGCACCTTGTACAGTGGCAATGAATCCTCACACCAGTGAGCTTGTGCCATGAGTGCAGACCTGTGGTCCACATGCGCTTTGTGCACTGGCGACGCTGCAACGGCGACGCTGGCAGCGGCGGCGACGCTGCTGCGATGGGGTACTGTAGCCCTTACCGCTGCTGGACAGCACCTTGTGCAGTGGCAATGTCCACTGACTCATGGCACCAGCCTGTGCCATGAGCGCTGTGTGGTCAGTTGCGCTTTGTGCGCCGGCGACGCTGCAGCGGCGACAACGCTGCAGCGGCGACGCTGCTGCATGGGGTGTGCTGTAGCCTTAGGTGCTGCGCCTGCACAGCACCTTGTGCAGTGGCAATGACTCCTGGCACTAGTGAGCTTGATGTCCTCAAATGTCCACAGAGTATACTGGTTGTGCTCACACACAGGTTGTGCTACATCAACAGGGGTGCAACTTTGAGAGGCTGCAACTAAGGGATTTGGCCTTTGCAGCTGCGGCCAAAGTTTTGTTATGGGCTGCAACTGCATCCTGCCACCTTGGATACCTCGACACCTTAGACGCTAAACACCTTGACAACACTCGACACCCCCGCTCGACACGCTCGACACGCTCGACACCCTCGACACCCTCGACACCACTCCTCGACACCACGACACGGACAAGCATGGTCCCAGCCTAGACAGGCCTCGACAGGCCTCGACAGGCCTCGACACCTCTATCCCTCGACAGGCAGCTCGACACCCTCGACACCGGGCCTCGACACCTCGACACCCAGGGCTCAGCCCACGGGGCTGCAGAAGGCGTCCGCAGCCGGGACAACCCGCCCCCCCAGCCGAGGCCGGTCGAAGCCCACTTGCAAGCAGCCATGAGGAGTCCTCTTGGTGCTCCTGGCGGCCGTTGGAATGGCGAGCGCGCGCCGATGGGGGGGGGGGGGGGTCTTGCTTGCTCCACACCGAGCGCCATCGGTCCGGACCGGTGCTTGCACCGAGGGGTGGCTTGCACAAGGTCTGAGCCGCGGGCGCTCGGCGCCAAGTGCAGTGTCACGCTCGCGCTGGAGCGGGACACAATGGGGAACCCTCGTTTCCTAGTCACTCGGTCCCCCAACGGAAGAGGCCTCGCTCCTATTGGAACAAGCCAACATCAGATTTGCCTCGTGCGTCCCTTTTTGAGCCGGAAAGCTATTTTCTTTTGGGTCCTGTGGGCACCCTACGCTCCATGCCGTGAACAGGCGCTTTATCCATCCTATATTCTTCTCTCGCTCCTCCTCCCGTGCCTTGGTCTTGTCGTTGTTTCGCACCCATGTCTGTATGGCGATCGAGGCTGCCTTCCCCACTACCTGCAGTCCACTCGTCACCTCTCCTGCGAGCTCCCCTCTCTTTCTTTCGGGTATGGAGTCTGTCAGTGCTGGCAGCGTGCAGGCAGGCAATCACGGGCGCTATTTTGTCGTACTCCTCTTCGGCGAGCGCTCCAAATCTAGACCCCACTGCCTTTAAGGAGGCTGCCCTCGCGCGTCTCAGGAATATAGCTGTGTCTTTTGAGTCAGGCGCCGCCCGTTCGACTCTTGCTGCCGCCCTCGCCGTGTGTTTGTCAGCTTCCGCACGAAGTAACGCGCCTCTTCTTTGTTACCGGCTAGCTCAAAATAATTTTTCCCGCAAAACATTTCGGCGTACGTCATGTTGCGGTTTCTTGGGTGCCTTATTTCTGTATCGGTATCGCCGCCGGAGTTGTTACATCAACCAGACAGAGGCGGTTGCGACTCCCATATAGACAATATATTAGGGAGAGATTGCGCCCTCGCGGCCGGCAGCAGCGCCCAGCGCGGCGCCCATTGAGAGAGAGAGATATGGTTTTTGTTTTTGTCGGGGGCGGACGGCGGTAACGCGGCGACGATCGAAAGCTGTCCTGATTGGCCCTGCCTGCTCGGTCCGCGGGCAGATTTGCACCCAGGGCTCCGGCTGGACCTGCAACCCCTCTCTGCTGGTTCGAGAGATTTTTAGCAATACGAAACAACTCTAACACTCACACATCATTTGGGGCCTGGAACCCTGTTCACGCGCGCGCGAGACGTGCAGACAGGGTTGCCAGGTGAGAGCGAATGGCGCGTTCACCACGCCTCGCACAACAGAGAGAGAGAGATGCGCTCTGCATGGTGGGACATAAAAGAGAGCGAGTACTTGGGCGAGTAGGCCGTGCGGTCGACGCTGTTTTGTTCTGGTTCGACAGCAGCGACTTGCACCCCGGGGACGTCTGCTCCATCCAGAGTCCAGTCCCAACTCGCGCGGCACGACATTCGCCGGGGATCCCTACTGCCCTACCACACTTACTCTTACGAGGAGGGCCGCGACGAGAGTCGAGAGGGCAGGGGGCGGTTGGAAGAACAAATGGGACGACAACAAGTGTCAAAGGCTGCAGCACAAGTGTGAGAGGTCCAGCAAGGGTGAGGCACTAGGGGGTTGTCTCAGAGGGGGGGGGGGGTGAGGCAAGGCGGCCCAGATCTGCTCGTCTCAGAGGGTACCCTCTGTGCCAAGAGAGGCCATCTACGAGCGGCTCAGAGGGTGCCTGGGCCGACCCTCTGAAGGCCTGTGCCGCCAAGCCAGCCTCTCTCGGGGCGGCGCAGCCTCTGAGGCTACGGGGACCCTCTGAGACGCCAAGGCAAGCCCCGCGAGGCCGCTCCTCAGAGGGGGTTGTCAGCGGTATCTCAAGTCTGTCGTGATCCCCCACCAAGCAGAGAGAACCCCCCCAGTTTCCATTTTTCGGATACCTCAAGTTCGAGTTCACGCGGACGCCGTGGGCTAGTGCCATTTCACTGTGGCACAACTCGCGTTACAAAACCTTGATTTTGACCATTGCGCGAAAAAGGTACCATCTGCGGTGCCTTCCAGAAGCAGCGGAGACCCCGGTGACTGTAGCTTTGTCACGCGCCCGAGACGACTCGACGCCGCTGAGATCGGAGATCAAGCTCTGACAGGTCGCACGTCGCTCCTTTGACGCCGACGTGATTTACCCGTGCAGATCACATCAGGACACGGTCTCGACGCGCTCAGTACGACGCCTGCGACCCGTCTCGGGTCAGGTGGCACGACGCTCATCCGCCTACCAGCGCTGCCGTGCAGGTTGCCACGACGAGGTCGAGCACGCTTCTATACGCTCGCCGAGCCTTCCTTTCCATCCCATTAGGCAGCCTGGGAACGGTGGCGGTCAGAGGCAAAGCCTACGAGGGGTGGTGGAACCACATGTCACGGCTACTGCCGGCTCGACCCCACGATAGCCTCCGAAGGCTGACTTTGCGGCACCATCATCGGACGATGTCGACGAGTTGGGTCGCTCTCGCGGTAGTCAGATGACCTCTCATACTAGGATCATCGGCCATGGCCGCAGGGAGCGCGGGGGAGGGCGCTGGATGCAACACGGAGCTCCGTTGGAGACGTTTTCAAGATTAGCGTGTCAGAGTGAAATGGCACTAGCCGTGGCGCCTCATGGCCAAGCTGGAGCAGGGGAAGGACGTGGAGATCACTACCTCCTCCTCGGGCGGCCGCTCCAAGCACATCCTCAAGTTGACGGGTCGGCGCCGCGGGCCGCGCGCGAAGCTGTCGCGCAGGGCTCGGCGCGGGCGCTGTGAGCCTGCAGCAGCAGTAAGCGTGTGTGGTCTCTGGTCTTCCCCGGGCGCTCGAGCAGAGCGTAGCGCCTTGGTCATAATGTTTTACTACCTGAGCCTGCAGCCTGCGAAGAATACGTCACGAAATAATACGCATCCAGGCTTCCCCCTGGGGAAAAGTGCTTACGCACCACCCCAGTCCCTAGCCCTCACTCCCCAGCATCTAAACCCTCCTACCCTGACTCCCACCCTACCATCTCTCTGAAGTTGAGCGACGAAACAAGCGAGGGCAAGAAGCTTGCAAAGCGGGTGGCAAGACGTCTCGTCGAGGGCAAGAAGCTTGCAAAGCGGGTGGCAAGACGTCTCGTCGCCCCGCCTCATGCCCGGCCGCGAGCGGCGAGCCAGTGTAGCTCGGCACACCGAACTGTCCCATCTTCCTGGCCGGTTAGCAGGAAATCCACGCCTCGATCTCCCCATTTGGAAATTCGACTGTGTGATGGTTGTCGCCGTGGTACTCCCGGCGGCCTAGGGAAGGAGAGTGCTGCCGAGTGTATGGGCGAGCCGAAGGGAAGTATCTGTGTGGACTTCTGCGTGGCGCACCGTGGCCGACATTGCTGTCAGCGGCGCAGTACTCGACGTCGTCGATACCGAGGCAGAAGTAAGGGGGCAACGAATCGCACCGGCCGGAACCAAAAAAGCCAAAGAACCACCCCGGTTCATAGTTGCAGAGGCCGTCTCCGCAGTCCGAGTGGCGCGGAGTGAGGCCGTCGACCCTGCAGACCTCGCATGGCGCACCATGCCTGCACTTGCCATCGATGCATTTGCCGGCTCCAGCGCCCAAGCACTGCGCGAGCCATGTGAGGGAAGCGTGGATATGGGGTTGAGGGGGGTGGGGCAGGGGGGAGCTTACGTGGCTGCCGCTGCTGCACGCGTCCTCGTGTCGACCTGGGCTGTTTGAGCAGGCCCCGTTGATGCAGATCCGGTACGGGTCGCAGTCTCCATGCCCAGGTCGCCAGCACGGGTCGGAGCACCTATAGCTCACCCTCTGTGTCAGGAAAGAGAAGTAAAGCAGCAAGGACGAGCCTATAAGTTCTTACTGGTTGTCGTTGCTGCAGGTCTTTGTGCAGGTCCAGTCGTGACAGCGGCCGCTCTGGCACTGGGAACCATCCCAGTTCTTGCACGGGCTGCCTGAGGGGAGGTTGCCGCACTGGTCCCACCTGTTGCCGTGGCCGTGCGGGCAGCAGCGCTTGTCAAAGTTAGTCCAGTCGCGACACGCGCCAGACAAGCACTCCCCGTCAGCGCCGCAACTCTCGCCGGTCTGTTTAGTGCCCGTGGTGCAGGTCCAGTCGTGGCACCATCCGCTCTGGCACTGGGAACCATCCCAGTTCTTGCACGCGCTGCCTGAGGGGAGGTTGCCGCACTGGTCCCACCTGTTACCGTGGCCATGCGGGCAGCAGCGCTTGTCAAAGTTGCTCCAGTCGCGACACGCGCCAGACAAGCACTCCCCGTCAGCGCCGCAACTCTCGCCATTCTCTCTATTGGCCCTGGTGCAGGTCCAGTCGTGACAGCGGCCGCTCTGGCACTGGGAACCATCCCAGTTCTTGCACGCGCTGCCTGAGGGGAGGTTGCCGCACTGGTCCCACCTGTTGCCGTGGCCGTGCGGGCAGCAGCGCTTGTCAAAGTTGCTCCAGTCGCGACACGCGCCAGACAAGCACTGATCGTCGTTGCTGCAGCCGTCGCCGGACCCCCTATCGCGACTCCCTCCTTTGCGCGAGTCCCGGAGGGAGTCGTATGATGCGCCCGCGCACGAGGCGCAGCAGTAGTGCTGGATGTCCTCCGGCACAGACGGGCAATATCCCATGGACAGCACCTCGGCGCAGGTGCTCACTTGGACGCCGAGGGCGGTGGCAAACGCGGGCACCGCAGCGTCGTCGTCAACACACGTCGAGATGGGCGCGAATCCCAGGCTGTGCGGCAGAATGGCCGCGACAAGTAGTAGAATCGCCCGCCCCGCCCGCGCGAGGTGGCATCGTGATTGGTGCATTGCGGCGCCAAGGGCTCCCGCAATCAAAGGGCGCGACGCATGGCGGGCACCTTGACTTTTTTAACGTTTTTGTCTTTTTCAGAAAGAATGAAAACCAGGCCAAGGGAGTTTTCCTTGCTAGAAAGAAAGAACACCTCTCCTTAAAATCCCTGTGTGGTGGCGGCGTGCCGTCCTCCCATCCCTCCCTTGGGTTGTCTGTTTTCTTTCTTTCTTTCTTTAGAAAGAAATAAAACAGACAAACCAACCGAGGGATGGGAGGAGGACAAGGTCCCCACCTGCACGAGCAGGATCTTGGAAGGAAGGACGATCAGGGACACAGGGGAACGGGAGCGGGGAGCGCACGAGCGCATCGCGACACGGAGGGGGGCTGGGCAGGGTTCACCCACACGACAGGGTCCCAGGACCTCTCTCGTATAGGACGGGTTGCACCCGGCGGCACGGGGGCAGGCGCGGGCCTCCTACTGGTTGCGCTCTCTCCTAGTTCTCCTGCTCCTGACAAGGGGACAGCGCGACAGTTCGCAGCCTTGCTCGGCACTTGGAGCACTTGGAGTGCAGTCATCAACCTCACATCCAGGGCCGGGGAGCTGAGAAGCGCACCCAGCGGGCCGGATGATCGGGATCGGGTTACGGGCAAGAGAGCCCTAGCCCTGGGGGGCGCGCGTTCGCAGGGAAAGGGCCATAAAGTAAACACAGGTCTCCGAGGGTTGGTTCTGCGCTTTGGGTGGGCACGCTTGGCATTATTTTTCTTCAGAGCCTAAAAGAAAGAAAGAAAACAGGCAGTCGTCCGTATAGACGAGAGAGACGTTTCGGAAAGCATGCGCGACGCTGCCTCTTTGCGCCGCTCGCTCGCGGCGACGGGAGACATGGCCGCCGATGCGGCTCGCACTCCCTCGGCGGGCCTCCGTCCCACAGCCGCCCGGGCGTGCCAGGGGTCGGCCTGGCACTGCGCTGCTCGCACGCTGCACTGCACAAAGCTGCGACAACAAGGGGAGGCTCCTGAGCTTGAGCGTTGTGCAGTGCAGCTGCGGGTGCTCGTGGACGGCTGTGGCCTGTGCAGTGGTGAGAGCGCCTGATTGGAGGCGAGCTGGTGCTGCGCCAGGGTGCGCAGCATGCTCTCTCGCTCTGTCCTGAGGCATGCTGGCTGGCGCCCAGCACAATGCCCTCAATGCATTGCTCCACGCCGTGCTGGTTGTGCAGTACTGCCAGGGCGCCGACCGCCGCGCGGGGTGCGCGTCGCCACGCGTGGCACGGATGGCTCGAGAGGCGCGGCTGTCGGTCAACCCCGCGGCGCATGGGCGCCGCGGAAGCTGCTCGACAGGCTGCGGGCATCGCTGCGGCAAAAGAGCCCGCCCTCTACTTTGCTTTCGCCGCGTTTTACGACAACTTTCGGTTTATCATAGCCGCCGAACTTTACCTCGCTGTTTCTTTATAGGCGTCTCGCAGCTGCGTATTCTCGTATTATCTTCGAGTAGTTGCGTGGGGGCGGTACGTATTCTCGTATCAGTAGCTAGTGTCGTGTCCACTAGCTCCGAGTAGAGGGTGCGTTCTGCTGCTAGGGGAAACCCGGAGCGCGGTACTATCCCTCGGAGAACCGTGTTATGGCCCTGCGACCGCGCACCCCCCAGGGCTAGGGCTCTCTAGCCCGTAACCCGATCCCGATCATCCGGCCCGCTGGGTGCGCTTCTCAGCTCCCCGGCCCTGGATGTGAGGCTGATGACTGCACTCCAAGTGCTCCAAGACAACCCAAGGGAGGGGTGGGGAGGACGGCACGCCGCCACCACACAGGGATTTTAAGGAGAGGGGTGTGATGCGCTAGCCCTCGCCTACCCTAACCCTTGGTCGTCTGCCTCTTTCTATCTCCCTTCGCAGTCCCTTGCCGATTCTCGCTGCAACCCTTCATGCCACCTCGCGGTCGTCCCACTCTCGTCGTTCTCTCTCTGGTCGCTTCTTCCTCTGTCGCGTCGCTCTCCTCTGCCTCGTCCTGCGACGGCGCTCTTCAGAGCCTAAAAAGAAAGAAAGAAACAGACAACCCAAGGGAGGGAGGATGGGAGCGACGCGACAGAGGAGGAAGTGTCACGGGAGAGAACGCCCAGTGCGAGACTACCGCTAGGTGGCATGTCGGGTTGTAGCGTGAATCGGCAAGGGGCTGATTCACGACCCCAGGCTTTACCCGCTGGGTGCCTCCCTCGTGCGCTCTCCTGGTTCCTGCCTTTCCGGTTACCCGTCTGTTTCTCCGCATGTTATGTGCCCCCCTTTGCTTCATTCCACGCCCTGATCCTCCCTTTCCCGGGTAGGCCGTTTCGCCCTCTATCTGGGTATCGTATGCCCCTAGCCCCCCCGTTT